CTCGATTCCTTCGGTTCACACCACATCGTCTAATTCCAGCAAGGACACCAACTCTTCTAGCTCTAACTTCGACAAGAAGAGAGATGCTAAGAAAGGCAACAACAAGCAGTCGAACAATTCCAACAAGGACAAATCCTCGAAGAAAAAGACCGACTTTGTTAGAGAGGATAATGTCATTCTTTGCAAGCATCATGGCACTCTCGGTAATCACTACTCGAACAGATGTCCCTTGCTAAAGAATTCATCAAATACCATCACCATTCAACCTACAACTCAGCAGGTTACGGTACCACAACCAGGCCATATCATTGGTCAGGTTGACAATCAAGGACGAATTCATTCGCTACAACAACAGCCTCGGCAGGGAGCTAATGCAATCTATGCACCAGCATCTTATACCTCGACTCCACAGCAAGGTCCTTCTCCAGGAGACCCACTCGCTCGGTACAATACTCTCTTTACCAATGCCCTATTCCAGTCACATGCTATTCATAGCACTCACATTGTATCGCAAGAAGGACAAAAAGCCAATGACAACAACGATATCACACGCTGGATGATTGACTCTGGCACCAGTACACATATGACACCCCACAGATCTGTCTTTGTCAATTTTAGACAGTGTGTATTGCCAGTATCTACTGCCACAGGAGATGTCTTTTACACCGAGGGTTATGGAGATGTGATTCTTCATCTCCTAAATCAGGACTCGACTGAGCAACTCTTTGATTCACCACTGGTTCTTCGCAAGGTATGGCTTGCACCAGAACTACGATCAAGCCTGATCTCAATGTCTGCTCTCGATAAGGAAGACATTGGCACATGGACCAAGAATGGCATGATGACATTCAAACATCAAGATAACCATGGCCCAGAGTCTACCATTGGCTTTGCTACCTGTAAAGGTGAACATTACTGGCTAAATTGTGCCGGTATTGACAAGATTAATCATATGCTTGATTGCAACCTTGTCACTGGATCTCCCAACTCGATTTTCGCTATCAATTCCACCCCAATTTCAATTGATCTTGCTCATCGTCGTGCGTGCCACGCCGGCGAGGATCGTGTGCGAAAGATGGAGACATTTGCTGATGGCA